TTGATTTTGGCGGAAATTACGCAGATTTCGACAAAATGTCTCTTTCAGGACCTCATATCGCTCTTTGTCTGAAACGGCTTGCTGATTTCGCAGATGAGATGCTCTAATGCCACTTAAAAACAGATGTGAGCAAGAAAGCATACTGCAAAAAAATGCTGCTCCGTAAACCTGGCACGAAGCTGATGAAACGTTGAACCAAATCGTTGATGTATCTGCGCTGTTTCTCATCATAACCTGAGACGAGTAAGGAGATGCCCCAACTTTGCAACTCGAAAGAAGATTTTAAACCAGCAAGAAATGCATTATAAGTTTCCTCAGCAATAGCATCCTGAAAAGAAATTTCCATATTAATATAATTCAACATTTTCCATCATGAATGGCACATAACAGCACAGTGGTGGCCTATCAACGTCCAGCTGCTTTTAGAGAGGTGACTGTTCATCATTAACAACTGTTCGTAAGCAAACTTGCTATTTTGTCTTCAATAATTGTCGACAAATAACATTTAGAAACAAATAACATATAGAAAGAAAAATTAATTAGGCACCACTTCCTAAAGCACTATTCAAATAAATAACGGCCCGCATCAGGGCAGCCGATAGGATCATGCGTCTTGCGCAGTCCCGTTCAGTGAACGTTTGCCTGCTAAGAATTTCACTGCTTGGAACTTTAGTTTCTGCAAAAGTAAATGAAATGTTGATTGGTTCCTAAGTTGCGGGATTTCCCACTAAAAATTTTACGCATCGGTATGTGAAAGCTCAGTCTGAAACCTTGGGGAGTGAATACCCTTCTAAATTCCAATCTCCTAATTTCCTGGCTTTCAAGTGATTTTTGCGACAAAATTTCCACGTGGTCTACGTGAGACATCAGCATGCTTGAGAACTAAATTTGAGCTTGTGAAGCTCTTGCTTAAACAGTAAACACCATCCTTAAATTTTCAGCCTCCTAGCTTTTCTGGCTCCGAGATAATGATTTTTACTGTCAAACCTTTCGCAATGACATTGAGAATTTGAGAAGTTGCACGTAAGAAAGGGACGCTATGTTAAAATTTCAGATTCCTAGCTTTTGTGGTTTCCGACATAATCTTCCCCACCAAAACTTTCACGGGGCTGTGCGTGTTACCTGCGAGCACGGGAAGGCTAAATTTAAATTTGCGAGGACACACGTGGGCGGGGAACATTCTCCCAAATTTCCAGCTTCCTAGCTTTAGTGGTGCCAGAGTTCCAAGTTGTAGGCAAAATGCACTGGACACACACACACACACACACACACACACACACACACATACACATAAACACAAACATACACACAAACCTGTGACAATATGCGTTTTGTGCAGTTGTCGAACAGCACAAAACGCATAAAAATTCATCATCGCCCACCGGAAAGTTTTTGAAGATGTTGGGATTCCAAAAAATGAATTAAAGATTCACTCATTCCACACAAGCACGACGTTTCATCTTTTTAGTGAATTATTTCGTGTTACTTTGGTCCGATGGATACAAATG